TCTGCACCTACAGCTCTGCCTCCTGTCTTTTTGGTATTGCCACCACCTCAAACAATGCATCATAGTGGAGGCAAGCTACAGTTGTAGCCACAGCTGCCCTGGGGCAGACTGATAGAAGCGAGGCTGCCATATCGCACCATGGGCCCCTCTGGCCATCACCAGTAGGTGGTAGGGTAAACAGAGAGGACAGAGAGCCCGGGGATCGAACCGGCGACCTTCCGGTTACAGATGTGCTTCCCAACCCCCCTGAGCCATGGTCGCCCCTTTGGTAGATAACCCCACCTTTTACGCTATTTAAAGACGGCTGTAAAAAGTCGTGACACCCACTGTGGGTTTACATTGGAGCCAGTTTGAAGCCCAGAGGTGCAGCTTACTGACATTTCCTGGAAATACTGCCCGGAGCTGCAGATGGCCAACATTAGATACTTTAGCTAAATCCTGCTAACATATTATAATCAGTTAAAACAATAAACGCTCTCCTATATTTCCAGATAGCAACATATTAGCAACGTATTAGCGTAATTATGAAACACAGTGGAACTACGTGTGGGGGAAAAATGTGCACTGTATTTTCTAACATATTTGGTACCTCTGCAGTGTAGTGGAGTACAAGTATAAAACATTATATTGCGAAAACAGTCGGGTAACGTATTTGTCATACCATTCGATTCTCATCTCCTCGTCTTCTCTTTTATCCTTTCACTAACTTTCTTGTCTTTCGCTCCTGCTTTTCTTTTGCAAATCTTTTTCTGCATTTGTTCATTTTGAAGCTTACTTCTCCTGAAGACCACTCGGTCCACTGCACGTTATGAGTATATTAATGTTGGCGTAAACCCACAGATGTTCGGTCTCTCCCAAACCACATATGGTCTGGGTTTATCTGTATCTGCAGGCAAATCCCCTTCATTTTTAGTCATTTAAATAGTAATAACATAAAGAATCAGATGTGACATCTTTCCTTTTTAACATCAAGGGGGATAAATTAAAACACACTAGTAGCTCAGCACAGTGTAGCTACGTTCAGCTTTTTCTTATAGTCATTTAAATCCATCTGCATTTGTTCGCCTGCTTGCTGAAGTCAGAGGTTTTACTGATGATCAGTGTACAAGAGCTGTTTTTAGAGAAATCCTGAAGCCGTGTGTATGCGGTAGGTTTGTTTCTGTGTTTGAACTGTGCAATCATGATAAAAGAGATCTGGGAAACCACATAACAGCACTGTAGAAACATGGTTTTAGTTAAAGATAATGTAAATTTATGGTAAATGTACAGTATATGTAAAAAAACAAAACAAAACTGATGGTAGTGATCGATCATTTTCATGTTTTTCTCCAAGGAAGAAAAAACGAAATATGTCAAGTGTCACTGAAATGTGTTTGTGTGAATTCAAAGTGAAGTATAACTCTTACCATGTGCAGGAGGTCTGGTGGGATTTCTGGTGGGGGTCTAGTCTTCCATTGTTTGCTCTTCTGACACAGATGCAAAGTTGATATTTTCAGGATTTTTGTTAAGTAGCTACTTCTTAGAGTTAAGAATCCCTTATGCATGTGTGATTTTGTATTTGCTGATGCCCTGAGCTGTTTAACAACCACAGGAATGTTAGTATAATCTAAATAAAACATAGATATATATAAAAATCCCCCGCTCGCCCCTGCGGGTGGTTCATCCTTCAAGCTCGGGTGCTTTCCCAGAGGCCCGGGAGCTTGAGGGTCCTGCGCAGTGTCTTAGCTGTTCCTAGGACTGCGCTCTTCTAGACAGAGATCTCAAATGTTGTTCCTGGGAGTGGGAACCACTCTTCCCAGCCTGGGGGTGACTGCACCGAGTGCTCCGGTTACCACTGGGACCACTGTTGCCTTCACC